CCTTTGCAGTCCGGTTGAAAGGAGAACCCCACCAGACTGGCCCTCCACGCCTCCTCTATTCGTTTCTTCCATACAGCCCCACTGACCACTCTCTGTTTCTTGAGTGTGCACTGCCCCAAACTCATTCTGGGCTTCCAGGTTAGACCATCTCTTACCATCTGGAGTTCACTTGCTCATTCAACAGATACTTACTGAGTGTCTCTTATGTGCCCGGTATTCTAGGCCGGGGGGGGCATTGAGGTGGACAGCCTTTACTGAGTTTATGTTCTCGTGGGACAGCCAGGTAGTGAAGATCCAGCTTGATGAGTGGTTGAGCATGTGTGTGAGGGTGTGGGGAGGGTGGGGGAAGGCCTCCCCAAGAAAGTGCCCTTTGAGGACAGATCTAAGGGGGTGAAAGAGTGCTATCTTGAGATTTTCCTTGTTTGCTTGTTGTGAGTCCCCTCCCCGCCCCCACAACAGTACCCAAAATCATGAGAGATCTCACTTTGTTCAATCCTCCGTCTCTAGTACCCAGAATGGAGCCCAACACTTAGTAGGTGAACAGGGAATATTTGGGGATATAGAGGTGGGCCTTGGGAAGGTTCCAGTCTTGACCGTTGCTGCTGCCTTAATTTTCAGAGCAAGTAGAGCTCTTACACTGTTGTAAAGCAGGTCACACCTGCCTCCTATAATCTACCACTTCAGAAAGCTTAGTCCTAGAAGGGACTCATTTGAGGAAACTGAGATTCTGGTTCCTAAATAATGGAAGATTCTAATCAGATGGGATTTCATAAAAGGATATATGATGCAAGAGGAAGTGGTTGCTTCTGACAACCAGGATTATAATTTATGAAAGGATGGGGGCGTGTGGATGAAGAGGAAGGATGTCAGAACCCAGGGAGGGGCCAGGGGGCTTTCTGGCCCATGGTAGCACAAAGATGTCTTTTGTTGTGTTGCTGAGTACACGGATGAGCTATTAAAACACTTGGCTTTGTGTCCATCCACCGACCAGGTGAACTAGGCAAATCATTTAATTTCCAATGTTAGACAATTATTCTGACACTTGTTAAGACAGTTGGAAGAATTTATTCAAGACTACTGCAATAGGGGAGAGAGATAGGGGTTCAATTCTAAATACAGCAAAGATAGCTGGGGATTTATAACCAAGGAGCAGAGTATGGGGGGTGGGGAATGGAAAAGTATGGAGAGAACACATCAAGGGTAGGGGGTGGTTCTTGCTAAACTGGCTCAACAGGATTCTTGCTAAAGGCAGGCCTACCACTTGGACATCAAAGGTGGGGGATGGGGAACTCGGTCAGGTGGGAGCATTCTCTCTCAACGGACTTAGCAGGGTTCTTGCTGAAACTAGACCCTTGCAAGGATGGACAGAGAAGCCCAATTAGAATTTGGTCAAGGAGAGATCTTTGTCGGCCTCACTTTCCTAATCTGATAAAGGGGACAGTGATGCCAGTGTAACCCACCCATGGGGCCATTTTGGAATGAAGTCAGTCAAAAGGTAATAAACAAATAAACCCTATGTGGTGGTGGTGGGGGTGGGTGGGTGTTGTTATAAAGCTGGGCCTCCCACATTAAGTAGAAGCTACAACTTGGAAGGACCTCGATGCACTTCTGTTCAAGTAGCCTACTCTTCCTCCTCACTCTCTACACCCCTACACCCGTAGTACTGAATTCACTCAGCAGTGGATAGTGGACTTGAAGAGGAAGGGGGAGTGGGTGGTGAGGAGAGCACAGATTTAGGAGTGGGTTCTGGAATGGAAGTGAGGGCAGAAGGCAGTGCCAAGCCATTTGACCTGGGCCTTGTGCTGAAAGTTTACTCCCATGACTGCGACATGGTATTTGAAAGAAGACATTTGTCTCAATGAGAGCTAGTTTTGAAGCAGTGGGGGAAAGAGGGTTTATTGGGACCAACTGGTCAATCTTTTGGGGGGAAATCAAATTATATCCCCATTTTGCATCACACTTCAAAAGAAACACAAGACAAATAGAAATAATCAGTGTAAGAACAAAACCATAAGGACGATCTAGGTGAATATTCACATAAGCTTGAGGAAGGGTTTGTAGGTATGATATCAAAGGGAAAAACAAGCTTAATGTTTGATTAGCAAATGAGCTCAGGACTTCCAAAAGAAAGATGCAAATGCCAGCTCATCAAAAAAAAAAAAAGTGTTGGCGGCAGCTCTTACAAAGAATGTATTCCTAAGGTATAAAGAACACATACAAAACAATAAAAAAGATGAATACCATAAGAGAAAAATGGTCACAGAAGAAGAAGACATTTTTAATGGCCAAAAAATAAATGGAACAACTCATCACCATTTATCAGGAATGTAAATAAAACCAGAAGATTGCAAACACTTATTTAAAACACTTTTATCAAGATCTTGGGACTATTACTATTATAGTAACAGTTCTAAATTCTAAAATATTTTAAAAGAAAGGGATCCCATAAAAATACGTAAACTGGAATAATTTCTTTAGAGAAATCAGTCTTCAATGCGAAGAGGAAAGTGGTTCGTAATTAGCACTTTCAAACCGATAAACATCCCTTCAGTTCTTGCTTGTTCTTAAACTTGAGAACCTGAAGGTAAAATTGATTTATCACATCTTCTCGTGGTTAATATAAAGTTTGGCCTACTCTTGAAAGAATAACACCTACACACAAATTCCAAAGCAGATGGATGGGTTGCTACCGTATTTGGAAACTTCCATTGGTTCTGACCGCCCCCCCCCCGAGACCCGCCCCCCCCCACCGCTGGGTGAGGCTGGGTGAGACAGGAAAAGGTGTTCCCGTGAGCATGAGGGTACTCGGGGCACAAGGACACTGTTATTGCAGGTTCATCACTGTGCTTATAAAAACAGCTGTGTGCGTTGCCTGTGCACACACGTGTCTTCGGAGGAAAAAAGAATCGGAAGATGGAGGCATCCATACAGGATTTGAATTTCACCGGTCAAGGGAAAAGGGCGTTAATTGCTGGCTGGAGACTCAGGTGGCTGGGCTGGTAGGAACTCTTCACCCAGGAAAACCTTCAACCAAAATAATAAGAGGGACAATTGAAGATCTCTTGTTAGAGATCAACTTTCCCATGGAGCGAAAAGAATACCAGGGCAGTGAGACAAAAGCTATGCATCTTAATCATGAATGTCATTCATAAAACACCCTTTGTCTATTCAGGGTGATTTTAGTACTTGGCTCTGTGGGCTAAGTACAAGAAGGAATTTTTACCAAGTTACGCTTTCAATGAGCTGAACTTTCTATGAAAGAATTCGAACCAACTTCATTCAGCACTTGATTTTTTCTTTTTAAAAGCAAGGGTGTTTTGTTTTGTAAAGTTGGAGGATGCCATATAATAAATGGTTTTGCTGAGCAGCCTCCAGAAAAGATTGCTAAAATTGATGATTTGTTAACTGTTCAAACCAGGAGGGAAAGAAAAGAAAATGGGATGTAGGTTTTGTGTGTGTGTGTGTGTGTGTGTGTGTGTTTTTAATAAGGACTACTTGCCTGACAAAGGGATATTTCCCCCTTGAGCTTAATAAATACATTCAGCATTTGCCTAACACCACAGTCATAAATCCTGATGGGAGCCCATCGCTGCCCACCCACACCCCAGCGAGCCTCCAGGAGGGGAGGCAAACTATTTGCATGCACTGAGGTATTCAGTTATTGCTAACTGGTGAAAGCCATTCCCCGCCGCCCCCCACCCCCCCGGATGAAAAAAATAAATGCATATGCTTAGGGAGCTCATCCAAAGCCATTGATCGGCAACACTGGATTAGAACTCCAGATGCAAAGAGAAGGCTCACAGAACCAGTGAATTTACTCTTGAGACTTTCTCCCTCCATGCATCAGCAAAGAAGTTATGATCAAATATTTATTAGCTGTTCCTTTGGCTGGGCTTTCTAAGCATAGGGAGAAATAAGGTATCTTAAGGCAAGGACTGGATTGCTGACTTGAGCACTGCCTGGATACAAACATCTACTCTTTAATTACACAACGAAGTCTCCAAGCACCCCCTCCCTCTTGCTCCTGGGATGTGTATGCTTGCTTAGTTTGCAACTGTGTTTAGCCATAGTTTCCAGAGCCACTCAGTATGGGGAGGGAGCCCATGACCAATGACTCAGATTTTTAACTCATGAAAAGGGTTATTTGCTGAGCTGAGCTAATACCCCTGCTTGGTCGTGCTTCATTTGGATCATCGCGACAGAGGTTCAAGAAAAGGCCACTGTTGCCATCTGTCCCGCTCCCCGCACTCCACCTTCGTGTGGAATTCAACTTGCTATCCCACTCCACCCATCCCCTGCTCCTCTGGAAACCTTTCTCATGGGTACAACAGGGTCATTCATTCTGTTAACGCAGAAAAGCCCCGGCCAGGGGCACTGAGGTCCCTCATTAGCATAGCTCTCGGTGCACTAAGATTTCTGTTGGGTATCTCGGCACCGTTATGTACATTACTGACTCTCCCCTACAGACAGTAACCTCAGAGCCCTCATCATTCAAGGAGACATCGGTCTCAAAATTAAATGGAAAGCAAGCTTGATTTTTAAGAGATGGGATCCGCTTTTGGACATTCTGATTTGGAATGTTTAAGATAGAGCCTGCAAATTGGAATTGTTAGAAATCTTTCCAGGTGACTCTAATTTAGAATGTTTCCAGGTCTAAATGATACTCTTTTTTTTTAAGATTTTATTTATTTATTTTTGTGAGAGAGGGAGCGAGCACAGGGTGGGGGGGGTGCTGGGGAGGGGCAGAGGGAGAAGCAGACTCCCCGCTGAGCAGGGAGCCCCATGCAGGACTCAGTCCCGGGACCCTGGGATCATGACCTGAGCTGAAGGCAGACGCTTAACCAACTGAGCCACCCAGGCACCCTTAAATGATATTCTATTAACCTGAATGCACTATTGTATGTATTATATGAAATGGCAAAGAAAATAATCTGATTGTAGCCGGTCAGTTAGGTCACGCAATTTCTACCTTAAGCCCTGACCCAGTCTTTCTTTTTTAGCCAGCACAGTCCGGCCAGAAGATGACATAACACCAGGTGTAGAAGATAGCGTGGTGACCCTAGGTGCAGAAGATAATGTGATGACCCCAGGCACCAGTGAAGAGCCTTATGAGTCTGGCTTAACAGCCCTGGTGAGTGTTCCAGAAGAGTGGAGTTTGCTCCGTAGGCATGCAATCATATGCAAGGATATTTTATGACTGTCTTATTTCACTTAGCATAATATCCTTATGGTTTATCCATGCTGTAGCACATGTGACAATGTCCTTCCTTTTTTTTTTTTTAAAGATTTTATTTATTTATTTGACAGAGAGAGACAGAGTGAGAGAGGGAACACAAGCAGGGGGAGGGGAGAGGGAGAAGCAGGCCCCCTGCCGAGCAGGGAGCCCGATGCGGGGCTCGATCCCAGGACACTGGGATCATGACCTGAGCCGAAGGCAGACGCTTAACGACTGAGCCACCCAGGCGCCCCAATGTCCTTCCTTTTTAAGGCTGATTATTCCATCGTATGTACCACATTTTGTGTATCTGTTCATCGGTCAGTAGACGTTTGGGTTGCTTCCAACTCTGGGCTATTGTGAATAGAGCTACTATAAAAATGGTTGTGCAAATACCTCTTCCAGACCTTGCTTTCAATCGGGTATATGCCCAGAACTAGGATTGATGGGTCATATGGTAGTTCTATTTTTAATTATTTTGAGGAAACTCCATCTTGTTTTCCATAGTGGTTGCACCATTTTACAATCCCACAGTGCACAATGGTTTCAGTTTCTCTACCTTCTTGCCAATGTTATTTTCTGTTCTTTTGAGAGTAGCCATCCTAACAGGTACAAGGTGATAATCTCATTGTGGTTTAATTTGTATTTCTCTGATGACTAGGGATACTGAGCATCTTTCATATGCTTACTGACCATTGTATATCGTCTTTGGGGAAAGGTCTATGCAAGTCCTTTTGCCCATTTTTGTTTGTTTGGTTTTTGGTTTTGGTTTTATTTTTTGGGGGGGTGGTGCACGCATACAAGCAGGGGGGAGGGGCAGAGGGAGAGAGAGAATCTTAAGCAGGCTCCACTCTCAGCATGGAGCCTGATGCAGGCCTGGATCTCATGACCCAGAGATCATGACCTGAGCTGAAATCAAGAGTCAGACGCTTAACCAACTGAGTCATCCAGGCGCCCCCCCCCCTTTTTTTTTTTTAAGATTTTATTTATTTATTTGAGACAGAGAGA